GATTTGTGTACTGTAAATCCTTTTCTGATTCCTTACAGATTTGTAGTGGTGAGGCTTACATTTAATTTTGTATAAGGTTAAGTAATTGTTAAGCATATACTGGTTTTTGAATTGTAGTTGTTTGCATTTCCTCTATGAAAACTTTCTTACATAATTAGAAGATCAAATGCTGTGTAGACCCACTTACCTTACTTTGTTGCAATCACTATTACTGAGTTGCTATAGTATTCCGGGCAATATATGAGTGCAATAACAATACCGATACTGAATAATTTAGCTTTAAAAAAAAAGTTTCGTGGAATTCAACAGCACTGCTACTTTTGCTTTTGAATCTATTGCCAAAAGACAGGGGAAACTATCTGCTTCTCTCATAGAGATTTTAAGAGCACATCAAGTGAGTATTAAATAAAAAGTATATACCTAATACATTTCTTAATTTGTGTGGACCCTTTACATTTTCAGTATTTAAAAATAATGAGGTTATCTTACTTGTTGGAGTTTTAGAAGATAGTACATTTAGGATTGGATTTTCTGTTATCCAATGTATAAAGTATTTGGTTTAAAAAAGAATATGCATTGTTCCGAATGACTGTCGACAGTACAGACAGGGAGTAAACATGGGTAACAGCCTCTTTCTTGAGTTGCGCTCAGAGGCAGGACCAGAGCAGATTTGGTCAGCAGGTGCACTTTAGCAAATGGAACTCCTAGTTCATTTAAATATTTGTCTTTGACAAGGTGGAACTGAGCTAACCTACATTTGCTTTGAAATTCATCTTTATGTAGTGTATGAGATATTCACAGGAATTGTATGGAGATGCCTTTTTGCTTTGAAAATTGTGTTCAGAATCATAGTATATCGGGACCTATGTTGTGCTCATTTAACTTCTCATGGTGTGTGTGGTTTTTTGTTTTTTGGTTTTTTTTTGTAAAATTATAATGATTTTCACTTTTTTCTTAATATCATATACTTATACTATCCATCATTTGACTATTAGTTATAGCTTATCAGTGATAAAACAGGTAGTAAATGCCATTGTTGGTTTCTTTTCTTCCTACTAGGACCTGAAAACAGTCATTCCTTTTAAGAAAGTACACAGTGTAACATATTTACTACTTAGTGTCACATGGATTATGTACTTTTTAAAAGGAAAAATTTGAGAGTATCACTACCACCAGCATCACTATTGCCGTAGTTGATCAAATATGTTTAAGGAAATCCAATTAATGTATATAGTAAAAACGATTATTATCTCTTGAAAGATTGAACTATTAGTAATACATAGATGGTTTCAAAAATCTCAGATCTGGTGATTCTACCTATTTAAAAACAAGTGTTTGAAATATTCTAAGTATGAATTCTCCCAAGTAAATGAGGATATTTTAGTAATGGGAAAGATAATTTCATGGAAGGTATTTATTTTATACCAATGATTGGGGTTAGGGGCTAGGGTGTGGAGTTGTGTATATCTCCACAATTTTTTTTTTAGATGATTACTAAGCTGTTACTGTTAAGAAATGTCCCATCTCATTTCTATCAAGGAAAAAAAATAGTTTTATACAATTGTCATTTGTTAAGAATGTTCATTTTATTTAAAATTGTTAGTTTTAGAGGTTTAATATCAAGTTCCCAGTGCCCACATATTTTTATCTAGCACCCTTCCCTGGCTTCCCTCTACACACTTTGTTGGTTTTGGAGCTAGTGTCCAGTTATGTAAACATACATATTCTTAAATGATGATTTTACCATTCAAAAGAGAGTTTTTGTTAAGGATATATTTGAAGATTGACTTGTTCATATGCTCTCTTATTCTGTTGACCTTAGTAAAGTGTACAGTAGATTTTCATGATCATTACATATTTTTTGTCATTGAAATGTATCTTTTGTGTTTTTAAATGCAATTCATTCATTTTATAGTTGTGACTTTATTATTGACTTTAAATAAAGAAGTAGAAATAAAAAATGAAAATTCAAGTGAAAAGCCCTTTTATCTATTAATGGGAATATATTAGAATGATTAAGAATATTTTGTGTTTGTGTTTATTTTTTAATGAATTCATGGTTACTTGAGGATGGTCAATTATGTTTTATAGGCGGAAAAGTAGCAAATAGAGGTTAAGTAAAATTAATTGAAAATGATGAGGAATATATTCATGGGATTTTAGTGGCCAGATAAAACAATAGAAATAATCTAATCTAGTTTTTATTTTATTTTATTTTACAGAGAGAAAGTAGGGCTGGGGAGATAGCATGATTTTCCTAAGTCAGACAGCTAGATGGAAATGGCTTGAAATAGCATCCGGCATCTGATAAATCCAAGAAACCTTCAGCGGCACCATTACTACCAAGAAGATAATTTAAATCTACATCTCTTATTGGTTGACACATTTGATTCTAGTCTTAGTAAAGAAAAATGTCATTAAAATAGCATACATAGTGGTTAAAATACAAAAAATGTTGTGTTGGTTTCTAGCTGTTTGAGAGGATAAAAGTGAAGCAACACCTGTGAAATCATGGGAAGGCTTGGAAAACTATTTTAAATAAACAGTTGCATATAATTAAATTTTGTTCTCCAGTGGCCTGGCTTTCTTTTTCTCTTCTTTTTAATTTAGAAAATCTTAATACACCTATGGATATATGCTTGAAGTGTTACATACAGTTGTCCATAATTGGACATCTCATTTCCTTTTGACTGTTGCCACCTCTAAAGCAGTGTAGGTTTTGTTTTTTAAATTTGTTTTTATATTCAGTATAGATGAAGGATATTTAGAAGATATATGCAAAACGCAAGGAATAATTCAGTGTACCTGTACGTACACGTGTGTACCTACTACTAGATTTGACTACTGACATTACCATGACTTGTGTGCCCCTTCCTAATCTCCTCTTAATTCCTCTCTGGGGTGTTCCTTTTGTGTTTATTGCAACCTTGCCTTTTGCTATAGCTTTAGCACATATGTTTGTATCTCTAAACAGTGTATCATCTGGCTTCATACATACTTAACTTTATATAAGTGGAATCATACTCTCTATTCTGCAGGTTACTTTTTCACTCCAGGTTGCCTTTCTGAGATTGTTCCATGTTGTATATAGTTAAGTTACATCCACAACTTGGTTTAATTATTCATTCTACTGTTGATGGACATCTGTTGTTACATCAAATAGTTTGCTCGTCAACATTCTTCAACAGGTCTTGTGACTGTATGTGTGCAAGAGTCTTCATAGAGTGTACATCTAGGAGTAGAATTACTGGATCATAGAATATGTTCCTACTCACTTTCACTAGGTGGTGCAAATTTATTTCCCCAAAATAGTGTAACATGATGTTCGTTCCTATAGCGTTTAAACGTTCCAGTTATTCCATAACCTCACCTACATTTGATAGCGATTTTGCCTATTTAGTACTGTGAAGTGTTATAGAGGCTTTGTTGCTTATTAAGGAGGTTTTGTACCTTTTTGAGTGTTTCTTGGTTTTAGGTTTCCTTTCTGTAGAGTTCCCATTAGAGTCTTTTGGAAATGTTTTATTCGATAGTTTCTTTTAAAGAAGTTGGCTTGTAGAGTTCCTTATGTAGCCTGACCCATTGTCAGTTACATGTATTGCAAGTATCTTTCGTTAGTTTGTGGTTTCTGTTCTCATTCTGTTTGTGGTGTCTTTCTTGAATTAGAATTTTCAAATTTAATTGTGTCAGATTCATCCTCACACAACCTCAATCCAGAATCATGAAAATATTAGCCTGTATTTTCTTACAAAAGTTCTATGATTTTTGTTTTTCACATTTAAGTCTGTAGTACACCTGCTATTGATCTTTGTGTAAAGTGAGAAATAATACTTTTTTACTTTGTTGATCAACTGTTTCAACACCATTTTTTGAAAAGTCCCATTTTCTTCCTCTGATCTGCAGTTAACTGTCATAAATTTTCGTATCTTTGTGCTTTGTGTCTAGGTTTTCTTTTCTATTTTGTTAGTCAATTTACGGATCCCTGTGCTAAAACTACACAGCCTTATTTACTATAGGTACAATAATTCTCGATTTAGTAAGATAAGTCCCTTCAACTTAAATTTCAGGAATTTCTTGGCTATCCTTGGACCATTGACTTTGATACACAATTTAGAATCAGCTTCTTAGACTACATATACACAGTCCTCTTGGGATTTCCTTTGGAATCACTGAATTTATAGATCAGTTTGTGTGAGAATTAACATGTTTATGATATGGAGTCCTCCAATCCATGAATATTGTACTTCTCTCCATTTATTTATTTATTTAATGTCTTAAAGGTACACAATTTTGTTTCAAGCATCTTTTGATTTATGTGTAGATATTTTATATTTTTCAATGCTGTTGTATTGTTTGTTAAAATCACTTTTTGCTCCGTTATTGATTTTTGTACATTACTTAAATCCCACTGACTTATGATTGTTCTAAATTTTCAAATAGACAACCAAATCATCTTTATAAAGACAGTTTATTTTTTCCTTTGGGTTTCCTTGGGTTTCCTTTGGGTTTCCTTGGGTTTATTTTTATTTTGCCAGATATGCTGGTTGGGACCTCCCGTACAGTGTTGAATAGAAGCCATGAACAGGAGTAACCTTATTTCTTGTTTTATTGCCCATTTATAGTCATTTTTAATGAATGGCTTGATGTGTTTCAAATATATATTCTGTTCAGCATAGTATTCTGTAAATGCCATTTGAATCAAATTTTTGTATTCAAATCTCATATAGTTTAAGTAAGCTTTTTTTTGGTATGCTCTTATGATTTTCAGCAGAATCTCTCACTTTGATGGTAGAATGTCAGTTCATTATAGGTCTTTCAATTTTTCCTTTGTATATTTTGATGCAATGATGCTACACTTCTAGGTTCCCTATGTCTGCTTGGTGATTTGAACCTTTAACATTATGTGGGAACCTCCTTTGTATTCTTTACTTCAAAGTCCATTTGGTTTGATATTCCTATAGCTTTTTGGGGAGTGTTGGTGGTCACCTAGTGTATCTTTTAAAATTTTTATTTTAGAAGCTAATTTGGGGGTATTACATCTGCAGGGAGATATTTGTATTCTCTTCCTCCCCATAGCAAGTTTGAGACAGGCAATTTTCCTTGTGTTCTCTGGGTGGATGGGGCTGGGGGTAAAGTGGATTAATTCTAGATCATCCTTAATGAACTTGATGAAAATACAGGTTTTCCAGTTAAGACCCTCCACTCTAGGCTTTTTCTTCTTCCTGTAACCCTGCTCTCCCCAAATCTCTTTATTTTACTTGGTTAAGCAAGTACTCTCAAGCTGAACCAGGCTTCAGTGTTTATCTACCTTGCTAGCTTCTCATTTTCTCTTCCTTTTTGGACTCTAGTATACATGTTTAACTTAGCAGCTCAATGCATTTTTTAAAATGCTTCTAATACTTAACATATATAATAATAGTTTTCTGCGGGAAAGTTGTCCTGAGGCATTCTAGGAAAGAATCTATGGTCTATAGTGGCTGTGTCATGCATGTGGTTCTCTGTGCCTTGCTTGCAATTCTTAGCCCTATATTCACGGGAGGAAATCAGTAGAATTTTCTCATTTAATGGCAGCTTAGGTTTCTAAAGTAGAGAGTGTATAGTCTACCCTGGATAAATGCTCTATCAGTACAAGCTAGTATTATGTTTTGAACTGAAAACAAGGCACAAACTTGTATGCCTTGCTCATCCAAGTCCTCCAAGTCACAAACATTGGCAAAAGCACAGTAATTGTAAGGCATGGGATTTAAAGGAAGAAATTAGCTTTTTTAGTTTATTTCGATACTTAGACAAAAAAAAAAATAAACATTGAACAACTGTCAAGCATACTTGGTTTGTTTTAAAATCATTCTTTTTCATAGAGATTATTTTTTTCTTGCGATCTCTGTATTTTAATAAAATAATAAAGCCCCACATATTTAAGTTTGAACATTTTGCCAAAAGAGGGCACTATTCACCCACTGTAGAATGTAAAGGGACTGAAAAATTACTGGAAAGAAGGCAAATTTATTTTCCTTCATAAGATTGATAAAGTTTGACAAAACTAGATCTGCAATCATTAGATTTGTCTCCCAGTCTGGTTATCTGGGATTGTTGCCTACATTGGACCATCCCAAGTTTTAATTTTTCTATTACTTTTACATTTTTTAAAGTGCTAGTTTAGGGATAAGATTTGTTTGGAAATTTTAGTCTTTAAGGTTAAAACCAAAAACCTTTTCTGAACACCTGCCTAGAGTGACCAAAAAACTCGTGTTTAAGGCCTGTTTGTTGGAGTCTGTCTTTGCCAGTGTCCTCAGGGCTGCTCACCTCAGTGACCCGTGGCCCGTTAAACCTGGTGAAAAATGCGTCTACAGCCAGCGGTGCGGCCACTGAGCCCAGCGGTGGCTCGGCCTCGTTCTACTTTACACATATGTTTGTCTATCAGTTTGTCTCCTCTGCATGTTGGTGTAGGAGTTCATGGTGTAGACATAACAGCTTTAAATATTAAAGGAAGAAATCGGAAGTAGCTGGTTTGAATCTCATGAGTGAAATGCTTTGGGCTTCAGGTGTAGAATATACAGGAAGAAATGAAACCATTTTGTGAAAGCATACTTTGGAGCAGGGAAGGAAAATGTGAGCCTAGATCAACCAATTAGAACTCTGTCTGCCCTTTAGGATTTGGTAATACTGCCAGATAAAAAGAAAGGCTGTTCTGCATTGATTCAATAAATAATCAACTTGCGCTTCAAAAGGACAGATAGGGGGAGAAAAAAGCACAACTAGGGGCTAAGAGGCTGGCGCTTACATAGCATGTGCAGGGGAAGCAACTTTGGAAAAGTTTCTATTTGCATCATGCTGCCCAAATAGAGTAGGTTTGTTTCCTAAAGCGGCTTTGGCTCGGACAAGCTTCTCCTCGTCCCTGGGGGTCCAGCGCCCCCTAGAGGCGGCGGGCGCCCTCCGCCCTGTAATGTGATCTCCCTGCTCCGGGATTGGTCAGAGGCTGAGTTTTCCCTGGGAGCGGCGCTTAGCTGGGCCTCCCAAGCCCGGCTCCGCTCCGCACGGCAGGCCTGCCTCTGCACCGCAGGTCCCGCACCGCAGCCACCGCCGCCACCAACACCGCTGCTGCTGCTGCTGCTCCTGCTTCTTCGCTTCCAGCAGCGGGTGGAGCGATGGAGTCCAGACTCCTCTGCTGGACCATTTGCTTTCTCCTGGTCGTGTGGTGCCTGCCAGTGCTACCCTGCCCTAGCCGGTGCCTTTGCTTGAAGAGCACCGTCCGCTGTATGCACTTGATGCTGGATCACATTCCTCAGGTGCCGCAGCAGACCACAGTCCTGTAAGTTCACACAGATTCCCGTTCAGCACTTTTGCATTGCCCTCTACTGAGACTGAGCACTCTGCTTTTAACCTAGATTCCTGATGTGGTCTCTGCTGTATAATCGGAAGAGGGTTTTCACGTTTCAAACAACTCAGTGGTTCTGCTTTGTTAGACTAGAAAATGTGAGCAGTGATGAGTTGAAATAAATATATTTGCACTAGGTGCAGTTATCTTTTCCAACATCTTCCAGAACTTACTGTTGAGAATTTTCATCTCTATTTTAAGAATATTCCTGCATAGATTCTCAGATTATTCCTTTCATCCTCTCCAAAATCCTTTGGACTCCTAATTAGGTCACCATGTGTCTGTCCCATTTGAAAAGAACTAATTTAGCTTTGTAATGTGCTTCCAACTTATTATGTGCTGGCAATTTGCATTTCTTCTGTTCATTGTCGGGCTTTGTATTGCGTGTGTCTCTCAGGTGGGTGATGCTGTCAACCTCAGGCCCTGGAAGGACTATTGATTTTCCAGAGCAGACCCTGTCCAGGAGAGCACTGGATACTTGGAAGCCTTCTGGAGCAGTGACTTAATCAGCATCTAGAAGGTGTTATGGGATGGTAGTGGGATAGTAGAATAAACCATAATACAGGTATCAGATGGACTTGGTTCAAATCCTTGTCAATATGGAGATAATAAACCTGTACCATTGAATTGACATTTGGATTAAATTAAATGATATGTGTGAAGTGCAAATCTTTGATTATCATAATTTTCAAGTCCTACATCACGAGAAGGAAAAACACCGAAAGGACATGCTGATTTGAAGGGTTCACCTCTCCATGGTAAAGTTTTTGCAGATTATGTCATGTCCATGGAAGAGAACTCCTTTCACTGTTCCAAGTCCATTCTTGAGCAGAGTGAAATAGCTTAACATTCCTGGGATTTTGAGATATGAGATAAGATCAGCACTGTTTTTTTTTTTTTTTTTTTTTTTTTGGTCATAATCATGAAATGAGGAATCTAGCTTGAATGAAAAGTTGAAGTTAGTGGTTGGTAGTTGTGTAGAATAAGAGATAGGTATTTGCCATACATCTTTATGGCAATTTTTATCAAGCATTTTGTTTGTTTCATGTGCTTGCAAATACCAAAATAAGTCTTACTCTAAAAAGTAATAAGACAGGTTCTGGAATCTGGGACCACTGTACCATCAGCACAGGCAATCAGCACAGCACCAGAAATACCTCTGGACTTGTAACCATCCCTGTGTCATTTTGTAATAGCGGTTTCTGACAGAGAGTAACAGAGCCTTACAGAAGGGGCAGCTTGTCTAATCAAGTGCCACAGGCTTAAATAAAAGGCTACCTAGGGTCCAATCTGGACCTAAAGTTTTGATTCTTAGGTGTTTCAAAGAAATAATTAGCACTCATTAGACACTCTCTTCCTGACATATGGACAGAACTGAAAGGACACTATTGATGTAGTTGTGAAGAGCCTTCCACTACATGTGGAAATAAGTCCCAATGGTCGGGTTCTCAGGTTCCAGACTGGGCCTGCCGGTGAGCCAGATACCCCTATTGATGAAATGTGTGTTGCCATGGGTGAGTTCTTGGCTTCTTGATGTCTCGGTTTCCTTTTCCACAAAATGGAAATGCTAATAAGTGTTCACCATCCAGGGTTATTCTGAAGGTTAAATGAGTTAATGCATGCTAAATACTTAGGACAGTGTCTGGCCCTACTAAGCACTATGGAGGGGTTCGCTATTATTATGTTTACAATTAAGGATAGGAGCTGCAAACTCAAATACCTCCAGGAAGTTGGCTGGTAAAGTAACGCAAGGTGGATGAAAGTAGGTGGATGAAAGACAAACCACTGCGTGAGTAGTATGATGGACTGCAACCAACCTCGGCTTGGGTCTGTGGGGGCCGCGAGGAGGGAGAGGCAAGCCAGTGGCAAGGCCTGGCCAGCCCCTGAGCTCATTGCTGCCCTGTGGGAATTTGGGCCTATTGTTAATGAGCTTGCCATATTTTTCAAGAGGATATGGAAACCAAAAATGAAATACCCTAACTTTTAAATCTTAGAGGATAATTAAAATTCTTTTATGTGAAAGGCAACAGCATGCAGGCCCAACCACACATATTTGTAGGTTACTTTTATCCTAGGACCTTCTGCTTGTGACCTCTATTAGAGAAATAGTATAAAGGCCAAGAAATATATGTAAAGTTTATAAAAGTTGGTGCACTCTACTTCTTTTGGGCTCCAAATCCTTGACATAGGATTAACTTTTTCAAGTAAGCAATATCATGAAGGTGCACTACAACTGCATTAAGACAAGAATTCTTAAAGAGGAAGAGCCAGTCAGCCTTTGGAAGCTAAGGCAAATGGAGCCGGGCCCAGTTCCTCCCTAGCAGCAAGCAGCATTGAGAGGGGTTTTTTTTTTTTTAATTTTTTATTGTTATGTTAATCACCATACATTACATCATTAGTTTTAGATGTAGTGTTCCATGATTCATTGTTTGTGTATAACACCCAGTGCTCCATGCAGAACGTGCCCTCCCTAATACCCATCACCAGGCTAACCCATCCTCCCAACCCCCTCCCCTCTAGAACCCTCAGTTTGTTTTTCAGAGTCCATCGTCTCTCATGGTTTGTCTCCCCTTCCGATTCCCCCCCTTCATCCTTCCCCTCCTGCTATCTTCTTCTTCTTCTTCTTTTTTTATAACATATATTGCATTATTTGTTTCAGAGGTACAGATCTGAGATTCAACAGTCTTGCACAATTCACAGCACTTACCAGAGCACATACCCTCCCTAGTGTCCATCGCCCAGTCCAATCAGAATGGCTAAAATTAACAAGTCAGGAAACGACAGATGTTGGCGGGGATGCAGAGAAAGGAGAACCCTCCTACACTATTGGGAATGCAAGCTGGTGCAGCCACTCTGGAAAACAGTATGGAGGTTCCTCAAAAAGTTGAAAATAGAGCTACCGTACGATCCAGTAATTGCACTACTGGGTATTTACCCCAAAGATACAAATGTAGGGATCCGAAGGGGTCCGCGCACCCTGATGTTTATAGCAGCAATGTCCACAATAGCCAAACTGTGGAAAGAGCCAAGATGTCCATCGACAGATGAATGGATAAAGAAGAAGTGGTATAAATATATACAATGGAATATTATGCAGCCATCAAAAGGAATGAGAGTTTTTGTTAAACCACACTTAAATATATATGTGTTGTCATCCTAACTGTGGAAACAAGGTAAATAAACATAGCCAAAGTGCTTAGTAAATGTTAATTAGTAGTAGTATAACTTTCTTTTTTTTTTTTAGTAGTATAACTTTCTTGAGTTTGTCTTTACATGTTTTTAAAATTTTAACCTTAATACAGAAAATATTTTTCTCAACCGTAGATAAAGAAACTCCACTATACTTAATGATTGTAGTGTTTCAAGTTTAGAAAAATGAAAGAACTACTCCCCCTAATTTTAATTTAATTCCATCTATAAAGATATCATTGGGTATTCAAAGCAAATATCATTTACCAAATAGGCCGCTACCATTTAGAAACTCATTCCTCATGCTGTGTATTTTAGTAAAGGAAATCTTTCAGAATTGGAATTAGCAAACAAAAAATTTCTAGTAGTGAACTTTAGGGAGCCTGTTCAATAATCAGAAGTCCTGTGTAGCTTAGGTTGATTTTACTTCAGCCCCAGGTCATTAGGTTGCACCTCCAGAATCTCAGCTGCTGTTTAAGAAATGTGATGTTCTTTGAATTCCCAGGAGTGAAAGATTGAGCCTTGGTTGAACTCAGGGACTGCGATTAAACAGACTCTAAAAACCATCTCAATTCCACTAGAAAAATGTAAAAAATGAGAATTTCCCCCAAAGTTTTAAATTTATAAATATGTAGAGTGCAAAGTTTTAACTATTTAAGGCATTTCCTTTATGTACAAACCTTGCCTAGCCCTCCAGATATACCCACCTCGGGAGGAAGGCTGGGGGTGGCAAATGGGAAAATGACAAGTTCAGTCATGACAACATTTATCCAGCTGACAGAAATGTCATCTTGTTCAAGAAGAAAATAGAATTCCTTCAGCTCTTTCCAGTTTCCAATCCAATCAGACAAGTAGATTTTTTTTTTCTTAAAATTAACCCTCAGGGGTTACTTTGACCTTTGAAACAGAATTTTTCATAACTTTTTTGCAACTGACATAACTTGTTGGCTTTGAGTTATCACTTAGTGAGCAGGCCTGGACTCCCTAGATGCTTTCCCATTTGGCATGGTTGAAGGGAAGCATGAGGGATCTGGCTAAACTATATCTAAATTCAAACCTACCCCAGTTGTTGACCACTTGGGGAGAGAAATGGAACTAAAAGTTGAAATACATTTCCTATTTCATTGCCTACTTAGTAAGTCAGGGTACACTATTTCCGCAAATGCCTCCAGTCTTGGGGGCCTAACATGATGCAGCCTCACCACCCTAATGACTCAGGACAGCTTGGTCCTCAGAGAGGAGCTAGAAGAGGCTGTTCTAGAAGGTGGGTTGAGTGTTCATGGAGCCCACGTGAGGATCTCGGGTGGAGGAACAGTAAGGAGAGGGCAGGGCTAGAGATGTGGGGGGATAAACGCTGCCAGCCATTGGCATCACTGTCTGGGGTGTGACCCACCCCTGATGTCTGGGAGTCATCCTTCAGTCAAACCAACCTACAGGAGAATTAGTTAGGGGATAAATGAGTCCTTTCTGGACATATTAATTTGGGAGTCTCCCGTGGGACAAATAGTTGAAGAAGTCCAGCAGATAGTTATGGGGACCTGGCGATTTAGATCTGTGCTGTTGAGCATTCTCCTAAAGCACCAGGGAGGGTGCAGGGTGGAGGCGTGGGTCAGGAACACACCACTGAAGGGGAGAAAGTGAGCTCGCCAACTCAGGGAAGGCAGCGGGATGTTTCCCAGAAGGGTGTGACCAAGGTATGGCAGAGTCAAGCTTGGACAGGGAAAGACAGACTGACGATTGGATGG